AAAGCTATGGAGGAGCATCATGCCGGGGTTGGCATTTCAGGACCGAAATTCGTTCATTTCTTGAAGAGAGAATTTAATAAATTACGACATAATGATGCGACAAGAGAAACCAAGTTCTAACATATTGTCCCCTATAAAGGAGAATTGTGTCAAGAAGAAATGGAGTACGTTTCTCGAGTTATTATTGATGACTCAGTTTATTGTTAAACAAACTTAGTGCTTTCGGTATTGTTCCTTCTCTTGTGAGGCTTATGGAATCATATATTTCTAATAGGATTAACCAATTAACTATGTCTTTTACAATGGCTTTAAATCTAGTGAATACATGTCAACATCCGGGGTCCCACAAGGATCAAACCTGGCCCCCCTGTTATTTGTATTGTTTATTGATGATCTGGTTTCTTCTCTTACTTGCAATGTTCTTGATTTTGCTGATGATTTGAAAATTTTTTCCACCATCAAGGATTTTGAAGATGTAGTAAAATTGCAGCAAAACTTAAATAAGATAACTATATATTGTTTACTCAATAGTTTAAAGACCAATTGGAATAAATGTTATTTTCTTAGATTTACTCGTAAAATGAGGTATATTGTATCTGCTTACACTGTAAATGGTAATGCTCTCACACTTGTTGACTACATAAAAAATCTAGGTGTGATATTTGATGCAAATTTTACTTTTTCACGACATATTGATACTTTAACTTCAAACTTGTCTAAAATGTTAAGTTTTATTATGCGTGCTTCGGCACATTTAAAAAATCCATTGTTATTAAAAACCTTGTATTTTGCGTTTATTGTTGGTAAAGTGGAATATGCATGTATTGTTTGGGAACCACATTATACAAACCGTCAATTACAGATAGAACGTATTCAGAGACGTTTTTTGAAATTTCTTTCTTTCAAACACGATGGAGTATATCCTTCTAGAAATATTGATTACCAGCTGTTACTAGATCAACATAATTTTAAGTCTCTAATTGAAAGAAGAAATATTTTAAACGCTAGACTTATGTGGAAATTAATTCATAACTATGTAGATTGTGCCCAGATTCTTGCTAATATTAATTTTCATGTGCCACGTTTATTTTTGCGTTATTCATCTACATTTTGTGTACCAGCGCCTAAATCCAATGTATTAAGGAATTCGCCAGTACATAATTTATGTCGGAATGCTAACAATGTATATCTTGACATATTTTTTGATCAAATTTAATTAATGAGGAATTAGGATAGTACTTTTGGTAGCCAAAATTGATAGTAAACCTGTTTTTTGTTCCAATGTTGATATTATTTTGTTATATATTTATGGTGTAAAGAATGTATTTAATTTAAGTTTTTTATTTTGTCCTGTTATTGGGGTTATACCTGTTGAGCAATAAAGTATTATTATTATTATTATTATTATTATGACTTGTGTTGCACCGACGAACATATATACATTCCTACGACATCACTAGGGGTTGTTTTTCCGAACCAATAATAAAATGAAAATGTTTGTGGTCTTAGAAAAAGATCGTGTCCTTCGTGGGTTAAAAGGAAAACAAATATTTGTGATTTTTAAATTCGTATTGTAAAATAGTAAATTAATTATTAGCCAAGGTTGTGAAGACAATCATTCTAGACTGAGCGCAAATTCCTACCCGAAGGTGGTTAATATACTATTTGTTTCTATGTACAAAATTAGCTATCAGGTTCCGACCCACCTATAGACACATATATTATAGTCGGCTGAAAAAAAAAACAGTCATGTCAAGCAAACGTGCAGCTATTTATCATTTACTGCTGTTCCCAGAAAAGAATGCTTTGACTGTTTATATGAAGGCGTCGACTAATAATAACTATATTTCTACTGATATTCTCGTTAATAACACCTCCCAGTCTCAGAAAAATTTAGACTCTATCAAAGACACGGCTACCGAGGACGAATGGTTGAATAGTTCAAAAAAAGAAAACAAAATGAAAAATTTACTAAATATGGTAGTGCCAACTACAATAGACTCTTTTCGGGGACTTATTTACTACAAAATATATATCAGCAATGCACGTTAAAAAAATGAAGGAACCGAAACTGATCTTTTCGATAAATAATTTCTGGCGCCACAATAACAAGTTGGTAAATGAGGAAAGATAAGCAGCCCGTATAATCTAGCGGTTAGGGCACCCACCGGACAAGTGGGAGACGTGAGTTCAATTTCTACTGCGGCTGTACATTTTTCCTTCGCTTACCACAAATTAAAGGAAATATTACTAGTACTGGTTATGCTAAGGTGTTCAAGATTAAGCAAAGAAAAAATGATATTTGGAAATTCTATTCAAAGAGTTCGAAATTGTGATATAAAAGACATTAGTTGATTTTTAAAACAGTCGTCGACACATTTAGTTCAATTTCAAACTGAAGAACATATGGCTGCATAAGTCTCCCAGACGAAAAATTATGGCGTTCTAGTAGGATTCTAGTGATTTACTATAATTCTCTTTAAATGATAACTAATGCATTCAAAATGGTCAGTATTACTCTACCTGTGTTTTTATCCAAGGTGTCAGTAATTTAAGATTAAATATATTAGTTGTAATAGTTATTTATGTGTTAAGGGCATAATCAGGGAGATTGTGGCACGAGAGAATGTTTAAAGCCCGACGAAGGAGGGCTTTTAATTTCCTGAGTTTTATTCTATTTTAGTTTCTAAACTATTTTTAACTGTGACTGTGTGAATTGTGCCGATGCAAACTTTAGTACATAGCTGGCTATTATTTTGATGTTGTTATGGATACCGCGTTGATTATTTGATAATTCGTTTTTCAAAATGCAAATTAAAGAAGCGGAAAACGTTTATCCAAAAGAAAGTTTAGAAGAATTTGAAGTCGGCCAGGTAATAAGTTGATAAAATATTATTTTTCCTACTTTATTAAAAATGTTGAATATCGAAGCTTGTTTGAATAATTAATTAATTAATATAAATGAACAATCAATTGTTGCTTAGCAATTTTTGACAGATTTGTGCGATAAAGGGCAACTTACGCCCGTATTTGGGTGCTTATAAACAAGATTACCATTTTAAAATAGAATAAACAACGTTATTCAGCGTTGAATAAACAAACTTCCCTAATTCTCTATGAAAAAGTTCATTTCGTGCACGTATTATATCTATACCTATTATTTAATTTCCAAAGATGATAGTATTTTAAATATGTGTAACCGTTTACAAGAACAACATACTATTAATTTAAGAAACGCAAAAACTGACCTAAGCGTACCTCATCTGATCTGATCTGATGTGACTACATAACGTTACCAAAAGTGAAATAAAGTTGTTAGGCGTAAACTATGGAGTTTTCTTTTTTTAAGTAAGTACTGAAAACACAAGCGTTATCTCTATTCCGTTTCCGTTCTTATTTATTATTAATGTGACACTGAAAAAAAATGAATAAAAGTTGTAGATAACATTGTTATAAATTTTTTTTATTAGATTTGCCGTTACGAAAATAAATAAAAACCAAGTGATAGCATCCCTAGTTCGGAAAAATCTAAAAATGTACGATTGCCCTTTTTAGATCGACTGGACTGATGGATGCACATGGATATTTGAGATGGCTTTAGGCTATTATTGCTTGTTAATTACAAAAAAAATAAAGGTGCTAAATTATACGCTACCACGAGTACATCTTAATAGTTTAACTTATTAAGGTATTCGGAACACAAAAATATATGCCAATAATAACATTATGATGCCGGTTAGGTGTTCCAAGAAACTTGGCAAAATCGCAGTAGGTAGTAGATGTCGAGAAAACGTTCTCAGCACAGCATTAAAATCAAATCGAATCAAAATAATCAACATTTTAGTTAGTAGTACCAGGGTTCATGCAATTTTGCTCAGAAAAACGAAAAGAACTCACCAAAACTTTACATGAAGACGGAGCACAGACAAAGACAGCCACCACCTGGGCACTTTTAACTAACTTATCTTCTAAAAACTTATCTGACTGTTTTCTTATCCGTGGTGGAAAAAAGATCTTAAAATTTTTTCTATATGGGTGGTATCCTTCAGCGATATATAGTTGGTAAATTTACACACATAAACATTTTGTATAAACCGATTAACGATCACACAGTCTACATCGAAGACTATCCTTGTTTCTCAAATTTATAAATTTAAACTATATAATTAGTAATGATCATACGGCAGAATAACGTAAGTATCCCTAAATCTCCTACGATTCTGGAAAAGAGACAACTTGATCACTCATCTCAACAGTTTAAGGCATACTAATTTTCAAATCTACGACCCGTGAAGTCTTTCTGCGTGATAAAAATTTAGCTCAGTTGTTACATTAATTTTGTTTAGGGCATTTTTTAACTTGCTTAAATTGCGTTCACAGAAGTTGATTTATTTGTTAATGGCTGCACCGATTACGGGAATTTTGTATTTTTAATGCAATTTAACAAGAAAATTTAGTTTTAAGTGCAAAAAAATATGTGAGCTCTATCATCAGTGGATTCAAAAACATGCTAAATTTGATACGGTCGACCCTTCTTCAATAAAACCAAGCTGATAAGAAGAATTAAAAAAAAGTTTTACCAATGAAAAACGTTGTTTGCACTGTAGGAATAGATCTGCAGTTTTCGGCTTTTGCTAGATTAGATAATTTGTATTAGAAGGAAACACAAGCTTTTTTGAAAGCTTAGGAATCTGACACTGTTCAAGTAATAATAATACATCTATTTCTTAATTTAACTGTCAGTTGAATAGTACTTTACCTTGATCTATTTTACTTTTAATATGTGTTCGAAATAAAATTTCGTTGTTACAATTTTAGCATTTATTGAACAATTATGTATTATTATTGACTGGTTAATAATACAAAAGTATGATATGAGGGACAACCATGAGGATTTTATTGATATGATACATTAAAACCATTTAAAAGTAAGTAAAGTTGATTACAAATAAATTCTACTCTTACTGATATGATTTGAGTACATTGTTACAAAAGTCTTATATAAAAACATTATAAATTTTTTACAGTACAAAGTTATTGGTAACTTAAGTTAAATATAAAGTTGTATTCCACGATACATCGTCAATAAAAAATAATATTCCAAATGAATACGTGTTAAAACGAAGTCTGTACACTTACAAACGATACATATATAAAAGGAAAAGTCGTATATAAAGATTGTGCGACAGTTAAAACGTGTTCAAAAATTATAAAGCAAAGTAAAAACAGCCTTAGAAGAACTATTCTATTTCATTTTAATTCTTTAAATATATTCGCGTACTATTCATACAAATAACATTACGGTTAGGAGTCTTATTCTAAAATGCCGTCGGCAGTAAATAAAATATAGAGTTATGTAGTATAATACAATTATTATTACAAAACGCAGTAGTTATTGTTCCATAATAAAATTTTAAGTGAAACAAAATATTTTGGTTCGCAGCTTTCGTATAACTAAAAGGATTCAACTCACCGCCCGCAAATAATTTCTATTGTAACAAACGAAATCATATCACAGAGAAAGACAATAACTACCCAACAGAAGAAGAATTAACGCTCGAAGAAGCTGCAGGCGATGTTCACTGATTTGGCATCGCGAGAATGTGAAAAAACGGGACCCTAAGTTACGTAATCACCAACAAACATCACATTTTTGACAGTTACCCTTAAAACCGACCTATGGGTCCCCTTTTTTGGCTATTTCAAGTGAAGTGAAAACCAAATTTTACTGGCAGTAAAATCAAGATCTTATTGCTGAAAAAAAGTGAAATGCAATTGTTAGGGAGGCACGTATGGGGGTGGTTTCCTATAGGTAGGGGTGGGCTTTGGTCGGGGCTGTCTGCCGTTGTCCTGAGTCCTGGTGAAGGGAGGCGGCGGCTGATACGGTTCCGAGTCGTCCGTTAGTTTCAAAGAGCCGCTCTTGCTGTACTCCGGGGGCGCCAAAGGTGGCTTCTCGTCCTTCAGGATAACCGGGGTTTTGGTTCCGGATTCCGGCTTCTCCTCCAATTCCTCCTGGAATATCACAGGAATTCCCTTGTTGCCGTAACTCTGTCTTCCGTCTTCCTCCACGTTCATTTTTCCGGTTCTTCTGCGCCGGTACAACACGCAGGCGGCTAAGGCAGCCAAGAATAACATTATTGATATGATAACAGCAGGTACTATGAACGTCATCAGGTATTGGTACTCGTCTGCTTTCGCTTCGGGGGACTTTTCGTCCACTGGAATGATGGTATCTTCGTGGATGGGTGGTGCCACGGGGATCACTTTGGCCCTGCAGATTCCCATGGTCAAAACGCTGATTTTCGATATGAGAAACTCGGGCTCCATCATGCTGGAGACGAGGTTGGAAATGCCCCGGTCTTGGTGGTTTCTCAACATGGACTCCAAATGACTGATTTCGTCGTGGGGGCATTTTACGGTACTGAGCGATTTGTTATACCATGTGACGATGGTGGAGTGGTCCTTTTGCTTGAAGGGAGCGGTGTGGATGAAACTGGCGTTTCGATCGCCGAATATTCCCTGAAAATAAGACAGATTTTATTGTTTCTGTGTCACAACTTTTTTACCTAGATTTTGAAACGTTAAAAGTGGCGTATTCGGGAAAAAGTAACAATAATAGTGTTACGGCCCTGAATAGGTAAATGTTTTTTTTTCTTGTCTCACACACTTATTGTCTAGCAAATTTTGTGATAATTTTTAACGATTCCTCAAAATTTCGGCCTTAGAAACCCCGAAAAAACATTCGTGTATTAACAGAAATTCGTCTTCTGTCAAATTTTATGAGAAATGACATATTTTAGGAGCTTGTTCTGAACATTCAAAAATCTACATGCCAACTGTAGAAACTTTTTCGAAAAAGAATTCGATCCGGTCAAATTTCGTGTTCTCACCGCTGCAATTTGGACCAAATCGTTCAGAAACTAAAAAAATTGGTCTAAAGAGTTTAGACACTACTTCCCTCGCTGTCGGAAACGTGACGACTGCATGCCTATTATGTTTTTTTTTTCGCAGTAGATTTCAAAGAATTCGGTTTTGTAGTTCCTGAATCAACCAATAAGATAAATTTACGCATTCATTTTTTTTTGAGTCACCCGGTATATGCAAATTCAAAAAATATGAATGGAATGATAAATTACAAGTACAGACTCATCATATTTTGTATATTCTAGATAGGATTTATTCGGCAAACTTTTGAGCTGACGTCATCAGTTTTTTGGAGAAGATAATCAAATATATTTTGACTAAAAATTTATTATGCTCTTTATAACCTTAAAACATCTGCAAGATTTCAAAACATTCGGTTGTGTAGTTCCTGATTAAATCAATAAAATACATTTACGCATTCATTCATTTTTCTGGGTCACCCTGTATATGCAAATCAAAAAAATATGAATGGAGTCATAAACCACAAGTACAGACTCATCATTTTTTTTACAGTTTAGATAGGATTTATTCGGTAAACTTTCGAGCTGACGTCATCAATTTTTTGGAGGGGATAAGTAAATATATTTTGACTAAACACTTATTATGCTCTTTATGACCTTAAAACATCTGCAAGATTCCAAAACATTCGGTTTTGTAGTTCCTGAGTAAATCGGTAAAATAAATTTACGCATTTATTAATTTTTTTGAGTCACCCTGTATACGCAAATCCAAAAAATATGAATGGAATGATATATCACAAGTACAGACTCATCATATTTTGTACATTTTAGATAAGATTTATTCGGCAAACTTTTGAGCTGACGTCATCAAGTTTTTGGAGGGGATAACCAAATATATTTTCACTAAAGGTTTATGATGTTCTTTATAGCCTTAAAACATCTGCAACATTTCAAAACATTCGGGCTAGCAGATTCAAAATTAAATTGCAAAATGTTGTTTTATAATTTTGATTTTTTTTCCAAAAATCTGGACGTTTCGGTTAAAAACTCAAGTCGGAGTCATAAACTACATGTGCAGGACTATGTTCTTTTATACAATTTAAAACCCATTTACTATGTACAATTTTAAAGTGACGTCATCGCATTAGTGGTGGGGATGACTAGACAAATTTTGTTTAGCGTTTTACCATCTACATGATATTCCTAATATAAGTACAAAATTTCACAACATTCGGTCCAGTACTTTCGGAGATTATCTGTCTAATAAAAATCTGGGACGGCAGACAGACGGACGGACAGACGAACAGACGGACAGACGGACAGACGGACAGACGGACAGACGGACAGACGGACAGACAGACGGAAATGGGAGACCTATTTCTTCGTCTTCTAGGGGTCATGAAAGATCGAGAAAACGTAAAAGTAGAGAGTCGGTCGACGGACTCGATTACAATACTTCCTTTGCTTGCGCTCGGGAAGTAAAAATGTTACATTTAACAAATTTTAACATTAATTATAGCGATTTCACTACCCTACAGTCTGAGAAACATGTAAAAAACATTCACATATTAGCTAGAAATCTGTTTTCTGTCGATTTTTGTGAAAACTGAGCATTTAGCGTTTCTAGATACACATCCGAGCTGCAGAAACTGTTTCTTTCAAGGAAAAAGGTTTCAATTTGGGTCAGATTTCATATTCTGGCAGCAGTAGCTTCGACAAACTGGCTTAGAAGCTAAAAAAAAGTTACTTTCGGTGAATTTTCGCATTATCTCTAGCCAGTTCAGAATCCTTTGGTCTGAGAAACATGAAAATACACATTATTTTACCTAATTATCGGTTTTCTGTGAAAACTGAGACAGTTCGAACCTTGTTTTGAGCTTTTGGAATTGTCAGAGAAATTGCTCGCTTTTTCGAAAATGAGGTGATTTAGGTAGGTTAGACTCTAAGGTATGCGGGCTGCAGTTTCGGCAAAAATGTTCAGAAACTAAGAAAGTGTTTTGACAAATTTTATCATTGATTTTATCACCCTACGGTCTTTTCATTTTTGGCTATAGGAGCCTCTAATTTTAACAAAGTGTAAGAAGCTGTTAGTAACTTCATCATAAGTTTACGTGCCCATGAAAATGTTGTTTACCGAACAAGTGTTGTATGAATCGACCCCTTTGGAATAAAATCGTCTCACAAAATTTATTTGAAAACGTGTATTCCTGATGTTAGTGTGAGCTGAACAAATTTGTTATAACATAATATTTAGGAACAAGATACCGCTTGTCTGCAGTATATTTAAAAGTGAGACCTCAGATTACTTTTTCCAAAATCATTTTTTTGATTAACTGATATGCAAGAACCTAAATCTAAAGTCCAAAATTAAGTAGAAACTTACCTGTAATTTTTCTATGAACTTTCGTTGTATGGATGCGCTGTTGACGAAGGTCTCAAACGGAGTTTCAACCGTCATACTAAATTCTACATTGTAGTGAACCTTAGAAGCGGGATAGACAACAATTTCCAAACTGTCCGTAGCAGTTGATCCACCGCTATCCACACAAACCAGCTGATATTCGCTTCGGCCAGGTTTTCTTGGAATGCCATAAAACTCTCGATTTTTGCTGTCAAACTGCAACCAGTTATTCGGTTTGATGGGCTGACGATCCATCGTCAGCAACGAAATGTTCAAAGTTCGGGAATCCGTGTCCTCAGGATCGTAGAATGTGTCCTGCAACGAAAGTAAGGCAATAATGAAAAGTTAGTGGCGGCAATAAATATTTACGCTACAAGTTCTGAAAGCAATTTTTCTTGAGACGCGATTTCAGAGAAACTGTATCCAGATCACACAACTAACTAAAACGGTTATCATAAATGATGAAAGTGGACGCCAGTTGCATTCGTGATTATCATTTAATGTTTAGCTAAAAGAACCGACACGGAAAAAATCGTGTTACCGTTCGTGGAACATTTGAAATAATTAAGCCCGGAATTAAAGTTTACAACCCGTTATACACATTCTCTTTCCTTAGGGTGCTGCTATGAAACTCAAGAAATGTTTCCAGGAATATGTTTCCACAATACAACTCATTAAAAACTCTATCCAAAGTAACAAAACGGTCGTAAACCAATTTTAGTTCATCTGCGTTTCAGGAGCACTGCTTAGATCTAAATCCATCGTTTGCAGCAGTATTAAAACGCCGACTAGCGTAATAGCCGTCAAATACACTCCCGGCATACAAATCTACTGTAAGAGGAAATAATACTCACATCTGGCACTTTAAACACGAGCAGCTCTCCAACAGTCGCATTTATGTGATCCACCGGATTTCTCAAGAACGGCGAGAAATTGGTCGGGGGCGTAACCGGGACCTGCGGCGTCTCGCACACACCTAAGCCGTGTTTGGTCACTTTTTTTACCCTGAGTTCCGGGCCCAACAATAAACTCAATTCTTGTTTCGGATCTCCCCTATCGTTGGCCGTCAACATCTGAAAACGGGCTTGTAGTACTCACAAATACGCATCGCGATAGCTTACCTTATATAGCTTGTCGATTTCCTCGACCGGACAGTAATTCGTCGGTATAGAATCGTTAGTCCAAGTGAAAATTACGGGTTCGCTTGTGTAATTGACGTTCCTTACGGTTATTTCCGTCATATTCGTGTTGTAGATCCGCCCCAAAGCTCGCAAGGTTTTCAGACACCAATCCACGAAATGCGGGAACTCCTGACGCTTCTCTATCCGCATGTACAGGGAGATTTCGTGGTTAACGACTCGCTGCAATTTGTGTTGTTGAACTTGGATGGTAAATACGTCGGTGACTGAAGCGCCCTCTTTGTCGGTGGCTTTTATAACGTACTCCCACTTCGACACGTCTTCCTCAAGAGGTCTGAAAGCGTAGCGTTAAAAACCACTTAGTCGATTTACCAAACACGAGAACCGTGAAGAAGAAGTTATTATTATTATTGTTCATTGTTCTACAGGGCAAGCCTCCAATTATAGAGTATGGATTTTGTAAAAATGATCTTTACAAGTGATATTTTATAGTAAAAGTGTAACTTCCATAGAACCATACTTACAATCCGTAAATCTCCCTCCTGACCGGATTGAAGTGGCACCAGGAATCCTTCGACAAAGGTTCTCCTTTCGAATTTAAGAACTCTAACGTCAAATTGTTGCCGTCTTCGAAATCGTTGAACGTATTTTTCGGCACGACGAAACGGAAGATTTTACCAGCAATAACAGACATTTGCTTGAGCCGATTTTCGATGTATGGTTGGAAATTTTTCTCTTCGTATTCGAGGCCTTCGGTGATTTCCCTAACTGTGGTTGTTCGCGGTGACGTAACGATGTGTCTTGCTGTTGTCAATCTCACAGTTGACACTTCTTCTCCTTCCTCCTCGTCTTCGTCCTCTTCGTCTCCCATAGTTGTAAGTCTTTCCGTAGTGGTAGGCACGACGGGCGCCGGTGTAGTAGTCGTGGTTGTGGTAGTCGTGGTGGTGGTGGAAGTTGTAGTGGGTGACGTCACTATTACTGTCGGTATCGACTGTGTCGTCGTCGATGTTGTAGGTGCTACCGTGTTGTCGACAGTTTCCGGATACACAACAGTCGAGAGTTCCGTATCTTCGACGATCATCACAGTCGTTTCTCTTTCGGTGGACGTAGTTGGAGGTACTGTTTCGATTATGTATTCTCTTGTGGTTGATTTCGCAGTAGTCGTTGTGGGTGATTCCGGGGGTGAGGTTACTTCAGGTACTGTGTGTTTTGGTGGCATCATTTCGGGAACGATAGTTCTACTTTCAATTGGGTCCTCTTCGAAATCTTCTTCAACGTAATAATCGTCGTACTCCTCGTAGGCAGGGTTTGTGTGAACTTCAGCCTTTGGTGTTGTGGTCTCAAGACGACTAGTAGTACTCGATGATCCTCTAACCACTTCTTCTTCAAGTGTGGTCTTCTGTGTGGTCGTTGTGGTGGTTGTTGTGGTAGTACTCGTAGTGGTTGAGGTCGTTTGTGGGGCAGTCTGCGGTACCATCGGAACAGTACTAGGTACGGTCTCTTCCTCTACTCTCGGACTTGTACTCAAGTGGTGGTGATCTCTTATAATCTGAACAACAATCAGTAAAACGTGTCAAGGTTAGGTGTTATAACTTACCGGAATACTAGAATCGACTTCTTCCGGATTTACGGCTTCACCATGATGATGTCGATGTGGATGGGTCGGAACAGCAGTGGTCGTCGTTGTGGTTACTGGGGTCGTGACAGCCTTCGAAACCGGCTCAAGATCATCTTCGTCTTCGTATTCGTCGTCGTAGGTGTCATCGTAGTACTCCTCGTAGTCACCACTTCCGTAGTCATCGACTTGTCTTTTTGACCTAATCGCAGGTCTAGTTTCGGTTTTTACCCTCCAACCGACTAATGGAAGCCCCAGCACTTCCGAAATGGTACCATCTCGAGCTTGCTGCTTCAGCTGGTGCACCAGAGGGGCAGTTTGCAGCCATAATCGTCCATCACAGCCCACAGGAACTTGGAGAAGAGACGTTAGTTTTGATGACCTCGTGTGCAAATTCCCTGGTCCAGCTAGTACTACCGAACTATCCGTAATATCATCTTTTTCTAATTGAGATTTTAAAGTAAAGGCACTCTATAAATAAAATTAAATTAGTGAAGGAAAAATCCGGTAGTAGAACTCTTACATAAGGCAAGCCAAAGAATTTCGCGATGTTGTTGACAGCTATCACTCTTTGTTTCGGTTTGATTGCCCTGACGCCCTTGTCGATGAGAAGGGTAAGTACAGTTTTATCTTCAGTACTTGGACACTTGTCCTCTGTTTTGAGATCAGACGTTTCGAGCACGTTTATCGTGACCTCTTCTGATATGTTTTTATCGCTCCCGAGAGCTCTGATGACTAGACGAAGAGTGCCAACGTCTTCGCTGAGAGGCACTCCCCAAAAAACGCCCCCGATTTTATCGAAGAGCAGCCATAGGGGCAGCGACACGCCGCCAGAACGTTTAGCCTGCAATACAAACAAATAATAACAATAAATTTATTGCCCATTAGTTTTCCACTCACAGGTTATTAATGTACGTATATGTGTTGGAATAAATATTTAAATAACCTAGGTGTTATCACTCTGTCAGAAACGGTCGTCTTTGAGAATACTCGTTTTTTGGCAACTCGCTCGCATTCGCAAAGCTTGTTTCTAAGATAATTGTTTATTAAAATGTCAGTCAAGTTGTTGTGGATAATTTTCCATAGGAATTTCGAGAATGTGCATCTCCCCTTGATGACAATGACTCGAATGAATGTTATTCAAGATGCGAGTTGTGTATTCAATATTTGTCTCTGGATAATAGCCATTTATTTTTAACGACGTTGTGTGCGTTCCATGATCAATTTATATCACACCGTTATGGGAATCCAATTACTGAAGCATACTGCTAGCAACAAAGGCAAAGTAAAATAATTTCACCAGCGTTAAATTTCTAAAAAATTAGAAGTATGCATGATAAAACGTAACGATGTGAAAACTTAGGGTCGAAACTATTCCAGGATCTTTAGCAGTATTAATTTCAACGAAAACTTGATTGTTGAAGCGTAAGGGAAAAAAATATGGGTGTAAATAACAAAACAGAATTTCAGAATCTTCAGCGATACGTTATTATCTATGCACCATCTAAAAATCCTGTATAAGTTTTCTTGCAGAACTTTTGGCATCCGGACCATGGAAGAATGATCTCTCAAATCATCAGCATATGCCAGCCGTGAATATTTATGTGCCTCAGTAGGTCATCAATAAACAAAATAAAAAGTAGAGGTAAAAGGTTTGGACCTTGAGGCACGCTGGATGTTGCAATGTTTACAATTACAAAATGTATTCTCTCACATAAATACGACTTCATAAGTTTGACAACCGATGGAGCCAGATCGAAGAAGCTGAATTTATTTTAAAGAAGTTTACCATCTACACGATCGAAGGCGCTTGAAAAATCGGTGTCTATTACATCTACTTGTCCATTTTTATCCAACTCTTCTGAAATAAATTGAGTCACTGTCATAAGGTTTGCGATGATAGATTTTCCGGCGAGAAATCCATACTGATGAAGACAAAATATATATAAGAGAGTATTCTTATATATAACATTGTATACAACCTTCCTGAACATCTTTGTAAAGTTGCATAAAATAGCTGCCATTAGTCGATAGTTTTTTAACTGCAGCTTTTCAAGCTTCTTACAGTATTATTTAAAATGAGAGATTATTCTGGATTTTCACTTTTGTCTGCATCGTTCTTTTTTTTAATAAATGTAGTAATAATATCAGACGTAAACCAGGAAGGATATCGAGACTTCGGTCTGGATGTTGTGGGTCAGAACGTTTTAAAATAGAGTATAACTTATAAAAGGCGCTCAACAATTACGTAAAGAAGACGAGTTCGCATTAAAAAAGTCATTAACAAGTCAACAAAATTCGCATTCTTAATGTTCAAACGGTTATTTAGTATAGATGTAAACCAAATTTTTTTAAAGTATGAGACACATTCACAGATACAAATGACTGTGATGCCTAACTACAATATTGTATTCAGGTTTAGAGAGTATAGAATCTAAGATTTTATGATCATTATTAGTTAGTTATATTATGAAACTGCTTAATACTTAGGGAGCCACACAAAGATCTCAACATCAATTTAAAGAATTGCACAGCGCCACTGAGTAAATAGAGAGGCCTTATTTTGACCTTTCGGAGATTTGTCGATAAGTTTGTTTATTGGCCGGGTTCAATAAGCCAGCGATAAGTGGCGATTTACTGCAACTTGCGAACAATTAATAAATGGCTCCGAGGTCGGGAATAAATGTCTTAACAAAATATCTCTTCTTAAGAACGGCGAACGTGACACGAAACTGAAGAGGCGTGATCAATATAAATAAAGAAACACAATGGTATTTGCACAGCGTATTTCATTTCGAGAGATCATTAAATAATTTAAAGGGAAAAAACATCTGCTCGAATTCGACGCGAACAAACAGGATAATATTTACACCATGTACAACCGTTATATTTACAGGTAACTGGTTGTTTTCATTAGGTTGAAATGAATATGGAATAATTTTATGACAGCTATAAACAAACACTGCCTACAAAAAACAAAAATAAAGAACAAACAAAAAATAAAATTTATCCTTCGGAATACATCGATCGTCCATTTTTGATTCAACAAGAATACGTATTTTTTGTTGTTTTATGATTGTTAATAAACAAGAATTTTTGCCAATATGTGTTCAACGTTTTCTTTGATTAATTATTTTTTTCTTATTTTCATGAGTTGTCAAAATAATGAGCCAATGAAATAAACAAAATTTTAATTTACTTTTTTCCTCTTTTAAAATACATATATGTAGAAAAGTTTCGTTTTCACTAAAGAAAAATCGATAACGTTATAACCCCAACGTTGCTTGCTAAAAAATTTCAGATCCTAGCCGGGTAAAATTAATGGACCTATTCGAGCGTTTTTGTGATATTTTTTTCCCCGAATTTTCTATTGAATTTATTCCGTACCTTACGGGCACATCGCAAAACGTGCCTGTATTCTCACAATTTGAATAATAAAAAAAGTAGATGGCCGGTGCTACTTCGCACAAAATTATGAAAACAAATCAAATTTTCATTTCTACAGGCAACTTTGGCCTCATTTTTCTTCAAAATAAACGGAACATAGCAAAATGTTGTTAGCAGTGAGAACTAGGTTTTAATTTTTATTTATTGCTTCATATTTAAATTTTAATCCAAGTTAGTGTTAGCCAATTAATTTGTGAAAATTCCTGTGGGTCTGTTATTATTGATCAATCAATAGCGTAATGAGCTTGAAACATCGTGGATTGTATTTTTAAAAGTCGAATTTAAAAACTACGAACTTTTTAAAAGTTTAATTCAATTTTTTTTTGGTGTCAAGAACTGATGTGTATAGAATAAATCATTGCCACTTGAGAATTTTATGCAAGTGGATGTGAATATGCATGTACTATAGACTAGCTATAAGTGTAAAATAGCCGTTACAACATCAATAAAAAAAATATTATCTTTTCTAGATACTTCGCGACTTCCGCTTACAGGCTTTTCTTTACTCGAGCGCCGCCGTGGTGATGATGAGTCGTCTTGTCATTGTGTGATTACTGATAATAGTTACATTAAATGGAAATCTAAAGTTATACTTAAATTTCTTTCTGTTTTTCTTGTAAATACTCTCTTTTAGAGATTAGGTAATCTTTTAAATGATATCAACGTAAATATTGAGACAAATATTAAAGATGTGGTTATAGAATATGCCGGGTTACTTTGGTGTTCTTAAAAAAAAGAAGACAATAACATGGATACAAAATTGAGTAATAAATTGATTGGTTTTTCATCAGCACAAGTCAGATTTTCCCAGCCATAGTTTTGTGGTTGCTTATCTATTTGCGCAGAATCAAGAATATTTTACGAACATAAATTGTTCGCTACTAATTTGTAATCACTGCAATCATTTTATCAATTCTGCTTAATGTTGAGTGTAGTGATAACTTTAAGTGTGGATTAACACTAACATTTAACTATGTATGCACTACATTTTTTTCCTTCTTTATTTATTTTTTTCTCGTCAACACTGGAACTGAATTTTTTGCAGTTTTATTTAAACCAATGAAATAAGTAGTACAGACAAATTCAACTTGTGGCAAAACAATTTGAATGTTTGGAGTTTGTCATAAAACATTGACAAGTCCACTTTATATTACCACCAGCAGAAAATCCATTGACTTATGCAAAAGAATCTAAGTACAAATCCCTTTCCTGTTATAAAATTCCACTTTACATTCTTCTCACTCTTGCCATATAAAGCAGTAAACCAATAAAACCCGATAAGTATATCTTAAACACACTCAACTCTAACGTTACTTGTCGCCTTATTGAACCTCTCTTCGTCAACTTTTTAAGCACTAATCCAAATCCGTCCCCTAAATTAGATTAGATCCCATGTCTTCAGGAAAATTGAGCGACCTCCTCTAGATAATAAAGGTAAGCGGATAAATGACGGATATCCGTCGTGCTCTTCCATCGTCACAGTTTACACTTCCAGATAAGTAAAACTTGCGAAAGCCAAACATTACAACCGAAAACCAATAACAAAAGATACGCCACACTTGATGTGATACGTTTCTTGGAACAAATGTAACGTTTTATCACAACTTTAACATTAATTTTAATTAGCGCATTGCCACAGCACTTTGATAAAAATTACGACTCCAACATTCGCGCAATAAAATCCTGGTTAAGGGTTACAGCGATATCATTTGGCAGAATATTACGAATCCGAGGGATATACTGTCCTCTTTTACGAGGAGTGACATAAAGATTGTCATTTGATCACAAAACCAGATAAGGTATTATGAAATTACGAGCCATTTTATCTGTGTCGAATTGGTTTAGATGATTAACGGTGGTAATGATGATGTTGCCCTTTTGGGATCTATCGGCGTCTTTATTCAATTAAAGCCCATTACCGCACACATAAAAGCGGTGGTCTGGGAATGCCTTGTTTTCGCGATTAAATGCTGGTTGTGGATTAGTGTGATATAATGTTGTCAATATGAGTCCAAAATGTTAAAAATATCCAAACGAGTGAAACTATTATTAAATATCAACCAAAGCTTTAAAAATGATGAAAGCGTTAGGTACGTAAGGTTTTGTAAAAATGTTATTGTACTATGTGATGTTCTTTCACACGACACAGAAGATAAGATATTGAAGGAAATGTCATAGGGGCAAGATTAATTCTCTTTCATTTAGACCATTAGTTGTTTTTTAAGTGAACAAGGTGTTTCTCCCGATAAGCTTCAAATGATCAAATGCAGTTGGAAACTGAATGAAGTAATTTTCGGAATGAACAGCTGAATAATGTGACACATGTATGTCATATGGGCTGTGTAGTGCGATCAAACGGAAGTAAAACGTTTTTGTGTAGGATTACGAATTAATGCG